ACACACACACACACACACACACACATATATAATATGCCTGCTGGTGGGACTGTATAATGGTACAACCACTGTGGAAAGCAGTATGGTGATTCCTTAAAAAGTTGGAATTAGAAATACCATTTGCCTAACTCATAGAGACCCCTCCTTGAGTTTCCGAGGCAGTATCACTACGGAAGTAGGATTGCCCAACCTTCCTTTCGAGGAGTGCCTAACTTCCTAACTGGAAAACACCTTCCCCTTGTAGTCCATTAAGGATTCATGATCTTTTTATTAATACTGCATTACTAACTAAGGAGTTATGGAAACACAGTGGTTAAAACATTAGGCTGCTAACCAAATGGTCAGCCATTTGAACCCACCAGCTGCTCTATGGGAGAAAAATGAGGCACTCTGCTTCCATAAAGATTTGCAGACTTGGAAACCTATGTTGTTGTTGTTGTTGTTGAGTGCCATCGAGTCGGCCCCGACTCATAGCCACCCCTCCTTGGGTTTCCGAGGCGGTATCACTACGGAAGTAGGATTGCCCAACCTTCCTTCCGAGGAGTGGCTGGTGGGTTTGAATAGAGCAGTTCTATTCTGTCCTATAGCATTGCTATGGGTCAAAATCAACTCAGCATCAATGAGTTACGGGTATTACTAAGTAATATTATGGATACTAAGCATGTTGTTGTTAGGTTCCATTGAGTTGGCCCCCAAATCATGGTGACTCGATGCACAATGGAACCAAATACTGCCTGGTCATGCACCATCTCTATGACTTTTACCAGACTGGACTGTTGTGATCCACTAGGTTTTCAATGGCTGATTATCAGAAGATCACCAAGCCTTTCTTCCTAGCCTGTCTTGGTCTAGAAATCCCACTGAAACCTGTTCAACATCCTAGCAACACACAAAGCTCCACAGACAGATACGTGGTGGCTGCATGTGAGACGCACTGGCTGGGAACTGAACCCAGATTCCCACGTGGGAGGTGAGAACTTTACCTAATACTGTATGTAAAGCATTTAGAGACATCAGTACAACATTAATTCTAAAGGAATAATTTACTAACAAATAGGAAGCTATCATATCCTGACTTACTTGTGTGCTTAAAACTTTTACCCATTCTTTAAATGTCCCTGTGAACCTGTTCTTGAAAATGCTACATTTTCTCTACCCCCACTCCATAGAGGACCACTCCTCCATTCTCATGCTCCTGCAGCACACTGTCCATCCCTCTTATATCACACTGGTCACACAATACTGTTGTTATTTATTTAAACATCTGCATCCCCCACTAGATGTGAGTTCATAAGAGCAGCATACATTCAAATGCCAGGGCAATAAAATCCTAATTAAGTAAGTAAAGACAAAATGTGCTTGGGAGGTAAAGTATAGATTTGCTGTGTGTTTATCTGGGGGATTGGTGAACTTAAAATATCCATGTGGAGATAACTTCTTAGTAAGTCAATTATTTGACCATGTAGTTCAGCCAGAACTCCACGTAGACATGTAACCTATCCTTATAACCAAAAAGCCAAACTCACTGCCATTGAGTCGATTTCCACTTAGAGCAACCCCCAACTGGGTTTCTAAGGGTATAAATCTTTACAGAAATAGATTGCCCCATCTTCCTTCCGTGGAGCACTGGTGGGTTTGAACCTCCAACCTTCTGGTTAGAAGTCTTGCACCACTAGAGCTCCTTAACCTATCCTTATAGGGATCCTAAAATGACAAATCTCAAATTTCCATTCTTCTCCACCAGCAACTCCCATTTATTTTCACAGAAGCCACTGCCTACAGGGACCAAGGTCCTCTACCCACCCCTTACCAATTATAGCAATGCCAACCAGAGTCATCAACTTTTTTACTTCTTACTTGGGAATGCCTGCTCCTACAAGGCACTAGACCCCTACTCTGATTCCAAGTCCACCCACCTCCACCAGGAAACCAGGAAGATGAACAAGGAAGAGGCCTAAGAAATGATCTCTGTTAAACATTAACTAGCACTTGAAACACTTAAACAGAATCAATGTTAAATAGTCCTTGTATGTGGTCATAAGAGTCTAAACTTCCTTGGACTATGGTTTATATTACAAAATATTCTGAATTCTAAATAACAATCTTACAAAGTACATTTGCAAGACTCTAATTCCTATGGTGAAGACCATCTATGGCAATATTTTGGGTATGATACAATTGATCTCCTCAACAATTGTAACACTTCAAATCAATTATTATGGGATAAATAAGTCAGAATGTAAATCTGTCAAATACAATAACTATACAAAATTTTTATTGAAATTCTTTAAAAATATATATAAGTACTCCAGCCCCCAACCACTCTTTAACCTAGTAATGAACTTTAGATATTATTACAACTCATTTGGAGAAGACTTACTAGAAGAGAAAAAAAGGTATGCTACAGGGTAGGTCATTTCATTAATAGGCTGCATATTATTTGGAATAGCCTCCAAAAGTGTCTCTAATATATACAAAAAGCAGGCAGTTGGAAGGGAGGAGGGGCAGAGAGAAGTCTGCAACTGAGCTAGTCCTTAAGCAACTGACACATGGGCACTAACAGTCTTCAACTGGTGATTAGTGCCTCACTGGCAGATCTTCTGCCAAAAGGTTTCTCCCCTAAACAGAGACAAATGGGTTCATTCTTCTCCCTCACATAGTTTCTCAAAGAGAAAAAGTTTCAGAAAGTGGTAACTCTTGGTCTGTCATTCCGCAGACCAAGCTCCATCTGGTTTAACATAACATGATAAGCACATATTTGAGCATATACTTAAGTACATGCTCAAGAATGCTCTCAAGAATAGTGCTTAGACTATATTATGACTAGTTCTACAAAGTCTGTAACGTTCAACACTGTCTATTCCAAAAAGTTCTTTGCACTTTGCAAATGTATAAAACTAATCATTCAAATCCAATAGGCAATGTTCTGTAAAGCAGAAATTTTTCAAACTGTTACCCCCTGTGTAAACCTTAATGTTCAAACAAAAGGTATGAAAAACTGACAACTGCAACCAGTGTGTTCCAAGTACTTAATTAAGTACCTTTAGATTTTCCTCCCTTCTACATTCACATCACAAAGTACTAATAAACACAGTTAATGGCAACGAAGAGCTTTTTTCCTAAACCTTTTCTTTTTGCAATTACTGCTCTATTTCTGTGGTTATTCTTGAAACCTAAAAGCCTAACAAACTTAATACTGTAATACTGAAACAGTCCTAATTCATAAATATCTTAATATAGATCACATGCCTTCCTTAGTAGGTGCATAAAACAAGTAAACCCTAGACAACATAGCTGCCTTCTGACAGATCCATGCCACGGTCTGGTGCCAAAAATATTTCCCACCCTAAAATCCAAGCCTCATTAATTAAAAGGTTTAGTAATTGCTGAGCATTAATTGTTCAAGAATGAAAAATGTGTACAATGGAGAATGTCAATGCCTCAGTTTCATATACTTTACACTATATTACACTTCTTTTCTAAATCCCTCCAAGGCCTACATTTCTTAATCACCAACCATGTCCTTTCAAATCTGACTTTGGGGACAAATGGAGTTGTACTGTTTGTATTTTATTTATTATCTTTACAAAATCCAGATATGATTCAGAATTGGAAACACTGCCATACTTATTTACATATGGCCATATGAAAGAAATCATAAGATGTACTAAATTGGATAGAAGGATATGTCCCTTCTAAATTAAAGAAAATTACACTTGTCCTTTACAGAGGAAATATGAGAAGGGGGGATGGAAAGAAAGTTAATCTACAAATTAAAACTTCTTGAAACATACTAGTCTTCAAAGTACAGCTTTGAAGGTCACTTATTTTTAAGAAATAACTGCTCCTCAACAGTGAACAAATTTCTAAGGCAGACGTTGAAAGCAAAATGAAATTTTAGTCCAAATAAGCAACAAAACCTTTAGTATGGGTTGTAGCTCATCTTTATCTTAAAAAGAGCACGCATCTGTCATTTCCATATTAGGCTGATGAGTTTAAGTCAAGGAAAATGGTCCCTTTTCTATGCTCCCAAATTCTTATATCTCTTGACATTTCTACATATTCTAATTAACTGAATGTCATCAAGAAGATATTAATGATGATTCGGACACTCAAGAGACACAATCAACCTCAAAACTCAAAACGGTTCACAGTCTACTAAAAGAGACCTATTTGATTCAAGAAGGGAGGGGCCTAATAAAGAAGGGAAGGGGCGGAAACTGCACGAAAAGCTGAAGGCCAGAGCCGACGTGCTCAGTTTTTAGACACTTACTGGTTTGCTAGGGTACACGTTAGATAGATGCATTTTTAGTTTCCCCACGGTCCAGTTCAAGAAGCAGCTAATAGTCTGGTCACTGTATTTCTGATTCGGTGCTTTAATGACGAGGGTCACAGGGATTTCCATCCCATTTTGGTCCATGGTGCTTCCAAAGTCAGACAGTCAAGAGAAGCAGCAGTGTTGTGAGCCGAGGTGGTTGGTTTCTGCCTGCACGACTGGAATGGGGGACGGAAGTGAGTAAGTTCTTAGTATTTCGTGTCCAAGACAATCACAAGTGCCTCGGGCGATACGAAGGCCATTGCCGGTACCAAGGCTGGACAGAGGCAGAGACTGCGGCGGCGGCGGGGTCTGGGAGCCGGGCCGCGGATGCAGGTTTCACCGCCAGGTCTGGGCTCCGCCTGACTCCGGACTGTGGAGTGAGGTGGGGGAGAAGAAAGAAAAAGAAAGCGATGAGAAGGGAGGGCGGGATGAGCGCCCTACGGTACTGGTCACTACCCGCCCCACTGGGACCCCCAGCCTGAAACGCAACAAGGCCCCTACGCGATGGCCTCGCTGAGCGGGTTAGTAAAGGAACCGGCCGCCAGCCGGCGGACGGGTACCTGACTGAAGGCCACAGGGCCCGCCACCACTGCCCCCTACGCCTGGCAGGTACGCTGGACGGATAGTCCGGCCAGGCGTCCTCCGCGACGGCCGCTCCCTTCCTGCTATTCGGCGGCGACGGCGGCAGCTACAGCCCGACCCTGCGTCTCGCGAGGCGGCGCGGGTGGAAGTAGAGAGAAGTTGGCCAAAGGGCGCGGCCTGAGTCTCCGCCTGACCCTTCGGGCTGGGCAAGGGTGGACAGAGCACCGCCAGGCCAGGCGCGGCAGAGGCGGCTGCAGGTGGCAGGAGGGCGGGGACGAGAGCCGCTGCGCCGGCCGCGCGCGCCGGTCTTGTTGTTGTGCAGAAGGTCCGGGTCCCCTTTAAGCCGGAAGGCGTAGGGCGGAAGTGCGTCACGGGCGGCACGCCCCGGTTTGTGGCCCTACGGACTTGTTACTGCCGGCAGTGTTGTGGACACTTTGGGACAGTGTCTAAACTGTACGGACTTCCTGGTTGCCGAGAGGGTGGTGCTGCGCTTCAGAGTTCTCCTGAACTGACATTTCGCACGGCCCCGGGCCCCAGATGCTAACATTACCCTATCATGACCACACCCATCTCCATTTTGAGATTTCCCTCTCAAAAGTGAATGTTCTCCTGACCCTTAAAGTTCTAATCCCCATTAATATTATTTTTAAATTAATCAAAGTATACTGAGTGTGGACTGTCTGCAAAGCACGGTGCCAGGAGCTTTTGTCAGGGAAGAGACTGAAGTAGGTTGAGTAAAGAGCAAAGGATTTCAGTTAGACTTGAAGTCTGCTACTAGTCAGTGGCTGAGTGAGACTGGCTATCCTTTCTGAGCCTCAGTTCTCTAAACTGAGAGGGTAATGCCTTCCTAAGTGCTTGTTGATAAGTAAATGAGTTATGTGTGCATGTAAACCATCTGGTACGGTTCTGGCATATGGCATACTCAAATGTTAATTTTCATCTCTTTAAGTCGTCACAAAAATTGTTAAGTTTTTATTGACCACCTGCAGTATGTTCAGTACTGTGGCAGATGGCGATGGATGACAGGGTTATTTTTCTGCTTTGTAATTTAGACATAACAGTGCAAGGGTAAGTCCACTGCCCAAAGCTGGCTTTGGGAGTTTAGGAGTCAGTACTGTAAATTACCACCAACGTCTGTCAGTTTGTTGTATTACAATGGCTTGCATATTACTGTGATACTGCAAACTATTCTCCCAAATACTATCAGAGTCTTTCATGGTGGACAGGTTTTAGTGGTGCTTCCAGACTAAGATAGATTAGGAAGAAAGGCCTGATGATGTACTTCTGAAAATTAGACAATGAAAACCTATGGATCACAGCAAAACATGTCTAACTTACTTGCTTTGGAAATTTCATCAGGCGGGTTCACTCACTGGAGGGGGATGTCGTGTTTGGTGAAGTAGAGGGCTGATGAGGTGATGGGAAACTCTTGGTGAGATGGATTGGTACATTAGCAACAATGATAAACTGGAATATGCTGGAAGTTGTGAGAATGACACAGGACTGGGCAACATTGCCTTCTGTTGCACATAAGGTTGCCATGAGTCAGAGTCCACAGGGAAGTAACTAACAACAATTTGTAAGTTGAAGTTTGTTAGATGTGCAGTTTCACAGCTTTAGGCTTCTACTTATAGGAGAACGCAAGCATAATATAGGGGCCTTTGGCAACCTGGTCTCTTTCCCTCTCAGCTGCAGGAGGATTTAGCGCGATGGCTGGTTAATGGGAGCTCTGGTAGCATAGTGGCTAAAGCACTTGACTGCTAACCAGAAGGCTGGCGGTTCAAACCCACCAGCCACTCCTCGGAAGGAAGGTTGGGCAATCCTACTTCTGTAGTGATACTGCCTCGTAAACCCAAGGAGGGGTCGCTATGAGTCGGGTCTGACTCGATGGCACATAACAACAACAACAACAAGAAGCTGGTTAATGACTAAGGGAAAGTTGTTTTCTCAACAGCTGATGCAGCAAGATCCCTCTTACCCTTTCCCCCTCACACTGGTTCTTTGTGGTAGGATACTGAACTTTAGCTCTACGCTCTCAACTGCTTTTCTGCAATAGTGAAGTTCCCTTAATTTCTAGTCATGGATGGCAATAGCTTAATCTGACTCAGGTTTTCTATGGCTGTCTTTGATCTTTGTCTCCCCAGTATCTATTTATCCCTAACTTTTTGCTTGCTTGTTGTTGTTGTTATGTGCCGTAGAGTCAGACCCGACTCATAGCGACCCCTCCTTGGGTTGCGGAGGCAGTATATCACTACGGAAGTAGATTGCCCAACCTTCCTTCCAAGGAGTGGCTGGTGGGTTAACAGAACTTTAATGTAGTTCCAGCTAAAAATACTTTTTCAGACTCCCTTGCCACTAGGGGCAACCTTTTGACACAATTCCAACTGATGAGATGAAAGTTAAAGTTGCTACCTGGGATTTCCAGAAAAAAAGCTTTTAAAATAGACAGGCTCTACCCATCAAAATTCATCCTTGCCCTACACCTGTCTGCCTTCTGGAAGGTCAGCTACCATAGTTCAATGATGAAGCAACAAACAGGAGCACAAAGGTCTGCATGCCAAGGACGGCAGAGCAGAAAAATTGAAAGAGACTACATCCTTGATAGTATCATGCCACCACACAAGCCCTAGGCTGCGTGTGCCTTAGGATATCCTAAGACTGCTGATTTTTTTAAACAAATTCCTGTTTAAGTCTGAAAGTCTTAACCAACTGCCACAACCACCAACACCCAGTACTGCAGCTCTTGTCACTTATGATTGTGACCCAGACTTTCAGGACTCCTTTAGAGGTGGTGTGGCCACCTCACTTGGCACTATGATATGTGCATTACTGAGTATGATTAATAAATTGTGAGTATAAGGCTAATATAGTATTAGACAAATTGTTGTTGTTGTTGTTATGTGCCGTCGAGTCAGCCCTGACTCATAGCGACCCCTCCTTGGGTTTCCGAGGCAGTATCACTACGGAAGTAGGATTGCCCAACCTTCCTTCCGAGGAGTGGCTGGTGGGTTTGAACCGCCAGCCTTCTGGTTAGCAGTCAAGTGCCTTAGCCACTATGCTACCAGAGCTCCCATTAGACAAATAGGACATTTTTTTTAACTTCTCTTGAATTAAGTAGGTACCTAAAAAATGCTTTTGATGCTGTTGAGCTTGGCCACAATAAAAAAAAAAATGCGTAAATATGACCCATTTTATTAAATTATGTATATACATACACAGAACGATATATGAAGGGGTAGTCCCCAGAAAATTGATAGTGTTTGAGCTGACTCTGTGCAATGAGTAGCCTATTTAAATCACTATATATGTTGCTGATAAGAATTGGAAATGTGAAGGAACAATCTCAGATTTCAGCTATGATTTGTTACTTAAAGATGGCTCCTAATGAAAATGCTTAGAAGTATAATGCTAAGAGATAATAAAGGATCTGTGATTAACCCAATTTATATTTATTTTTTGGGGGGGGTGAAAATATACACAAAACTTCCAGCCAAACGATAGACAGATCTCAGAGGTAAACAAGTACACCAGGTACGTACACTCCTGAGAATCAACCATGGGAGATTAGAAGGGCAGCATTTGCACAGGGAGATAGCTCAGAGGGCAGGAATGCATAAGAAAGAAGGACACAAGGCAAAGGTAACCACAGGGAGAAGTGGGAAGAGAGCTGTTATGTTGTGGGGATTGCAAACAATGGCACGAAAACAAAATGTATGTGAACTCTTTAACGGAAACCAAATTTGCTTGGTAAACTTTTACCCAAATCTCAAGAAAAAGAAAACATACACCAATTCAACAATTTCTACATGTATAATTCAGTAAGATTTATTGCACTCTTCAAATCATACAACCATTCTTACTATCCTCTTCCAAATTATTCCAGCAGCATTATCATAAACTCAATGCCTCTTCAGCGAAAAATCCCTCTTCCTCTCACCTACCTCTAGAAACCACTAATAATTTTTGGTTTCTATACATTTGTTAAGAACTCTGGTGGCATAGTGCCTAAGGCATTTGACTGCTAACCAGAAGGCTGGTGGTTCAAACCCACCCGCCACTCCTCGGAAAGAAGACTGGGCAATCTACTTCCATAGAGATACCACCTTAGAAACCCAAGGAGGGGTCACTATGAGTTGGAATCAACTTGATGGCAGTGAGTTTGGGTTTTTTATTCATTTGTTTATTTCATATAAGTGAGATCATGCAGTATTTGTCATTTTGCAACTGACTAATTTTGCTGTTTTCAAGGTTTGTCCATGTTGTGGCATGTATCAGGACTTCATTTCTCTTTATGGCAAAGTGATATTCCATTGTATATATGTACCACATTTCATTTATCCACTCATCTCTTGATGAACATTTTGGTTGCTTCTATCTTTTGTCTATTGTGAATAGTATGTCAATGAACATCGGTGTACATATGCCTGTTCACATCGCTGCTTTCAGTCTTTGGGGTATATACCTCAGTGTGGAATCACTGGGCCATGTGGTAGTTCTATGATCAACTTTTTGAGGAACACCAAACTATTTTCCACAGTAGTTGTACCATTTTACATTCCCACCAACAATGGCTGAGGGATCCTGTTTATCCACAACCTTTCTAACACGTATTATTTTCCTTTTTAATTTTTTTTTTTTTATCATTGCCATTCTAAGAGAGGTGAAATGGCATCTCTCTTTTAGTTTTGATTTGCATCTCTCTAATAGCTAATGTTCCTAGGCAATTGAACATCTTTTCATGTGCTTATTGGCCATTTGAATAGCCTCTTTGGTAAAATGTCTGTTCAAGTCCTTTGCTCATTTTCTGATAAAATTGTTTGTCTTTTTGTTGTTTAAATTGTAGGTGTCTTTTATATATTTTGTTTATATATTTTAGACACATATTCCATAGTGATACTGCCTTGGAAACCCAAGGAGGGGTCGCTATGAGTCGGGTGTGACTCAATGGCACATAACAACAAAAACAGACCCTTACTGGATGTATGATACCCCAAAATTTCTCCTAATCTGTAGATTATCTTTTCACTTCTTTGATAAACTGTTTTAATGAGCAAAAGTATTTGCTTTTTATGAGGTCTCATTTATCTATTTTGTCTTTTGCTGTTTGTACTTCTATTGTCATATGATTAATGCTATTGATTAGTAGTAATAAATCTACAATATTACAGTATGACAATATTAACTCTATAAACTATTCAATGTACATAATCTTAGTAGTTAATTTAGTAATTGAGGGTGATTTATGCCCATTGGGTAACTCTTGTTGTTAACAAATAAAATTGAAATTTAAATAAAATTATTTGTAAATAATGAAAT